CGCGGAGGGCTATTTGTGGAAGACGTGCGCGCGGCTGGGCACGGCTAGCGGAGGAGGCGCGCGAGGCTATCCGGGAGAGGGGATCCGGGAGAGGTGATCCGGGAAAGGGGATCCGGGAAAGGGGATCCGGGAGAGGGGATGCGGTAGAGGGGATCCAGGAGAGGGGATCCGGGAGAGAGGATCCGGGAGAGGGGATCCGGGAGAGGGGATCCGGGAAAGGGGATCCGGGAGGGGGAATCCGGTAGAGGGGATCCGGTAGAGGGGATCCTGGAGAGGGGACCCGGGAGAGGGGATCCGGGAGAGGGGATCCGGTTGAGGGGATCCGGTTGAGGGGATCCGGTAGAGGGGTCCCGGTAGAGGGGATCCGGTTGAGGGGATCCGGTAGAGGGGTCCCGGTAGAGGGGATCCGGGAGAGGGGATCCGGGAGAGGGGATCCGGGACAGAGGATCCGGGAGAGGGGATCCGGGACAGAGGATCCGGGAGAGGGGATCCGGGACAGAGGATCCGGGAGAGGGGATCCCGGGGGGTGGGAACGAAGGGGAAGGGAACTCCGGAGAGGACGGAGGTGCGAGATAATGTGCATCACAAGCACCCGGCCTCGCGGCCTCGCGGCCTGGCGCACGGCGCACACCGCCTCTGTCCCCTTTGAAGTGTACGGCCCCTACCCTCCTCACCCCCCTCCTGTCTCGTCTTCCCCCTACCGCCACTGACAGCTCATTTTCATACCATACCCCCTCTCTACCCAGCTTTAGCCGCCCGCCGGGCCGAGCGAAGACCTCTTGCTCTCGCTCTCGCTGCCATCCCTTTAGTTCCTGCATTTATTATCTCTTTTCCTCTGCCCGACTCAGCCGGACACGCGCTTTTCTTTATATCTCTCTTTTCTGCTTTCTTTCTTTTTCTTTCCTTTTTTTTTGCGTTCGTTTCACCACTTCAGTGGCCAGCGCTGCTGCTGCTGCTGCTGCTGCTGCTCCGCCAGCCGCTCAGAGCGTCATGAGTGAGAGCAGCGGGGGCCGGCCCTTTTCATCTGAGTGATGCGCGAGTCGCTCTTTCCTTCCCTCTATCTCTCACGGCCCTGTCCCTCGGGGCCATGCGTGGGGCCAGGGGCCGGGGACCGGGACTGGCGGAGAGGACCGGAGGGATGCGTGCATACCATCGCTATTCGTCTTCCCCGTCGCGAAGGCCCTCGCTCGTATTTTTATCCACATGCTGCCGAGATTGCCGGCACCGCCGCCGTTGCCGCTGCTGCCGCTGCGCAGAAACGTGCTGCTCTTCGTGGACGGCTGGAGATCCATCTCCAATTTGAGGCTTTGAGAGGGGCTTTAGCTTTGTAGGAGAGCGCTCCGCCGTGCTCCGCCGTGCCACGACTCGGCGCTGTTATCCCTCCTCTCTTCTCCGCTGTCCCTCTCTCTGTCCCTCAATCCCTCCCCCCTTTCTTTAGCCGATTGCAGGCAGGAGGGGCGGCAAGTGGCGCCGCTGGCCTCGTGCCTTATGCATTGTCTCTGTGGCCTTAGGCCCGTCTTAGCCCCTCTCCCTAAGCTAGATTGGCAAATCAAGGATCCTTACCCCCCGTTTCTGCTGCACTTCAGACTGGCGATTTTGTCTTGTTGGCTTTATCGTCACCGACAACCCAACGCGTTCACCATCTCTACCATGACGGTGGTCATGACCACCACCACCACCACCTCCACCACCACTACAATCATCAATATCTTAAACCATATCTCAACCATCATGAGCATCCCAACCATTGAGACCATCACCATTATTTCAAGTACGGTACCAACGGCTAATTATTGTGTCTATCCGCCTGTAGGTCTGTACCTGTACATCCTGGTCGTGGAGACGTTCACCAGGGAGAACGTCCGGCTGCGTTGCTACGTTCTCATCGGCTGGGGTGAGTACCACACATTATGCAGCAGAGCAGGCGACCCAAGCGCACTACAGGGGGTGTCCCGCCCAAGGCGTCCTACCACAAAACGACACAAAGGCGCGTAAATTTTGGATGGAAGCGGACTAAGGCGGTCGTCCACTAAACGCCTAAGGTCTTCACGGAACGACCAATTTTACAGTGTACGCATGAATGCGGCATAGTAAACAGAAAGAAAAAGCGAGGAGCCCATGGCCGGAACACTTCCCTATGGATGGAAACATGCACACGACACACATACGGAGAGAGAGAGAAAGAGAGAGAGTTGGGGGCACTGATAAACTTGTTGAAGACTCGCTCCAGGTTGCGCACACCAAACCCCCTCGCGCGCCGCACCGCACCACCCCTGGGGGCCCCCCGGGGGCGTGCAGCAGCAACAGGTACGGAGGGGCCGCTACAGCCCCCCCCCCCCGCGCTGCCCGGGGAGATGGAGGGGGGGGGAGTAGATAAAGGGCTGTATTATTGTTTGCAGTTATAGGCCGTTCCCTTTTCCCGAGATGTTTTCGGTCGGTGCGGCGCACTGTTCAGCCAATAACAAACACGTCCCAGGCCCATTTTACCTCCCCTCGTGCTGCTTATTTCAAAAATACACGATACGAAATAAATTACAGGTGAAGTATTGAAAGTGAAGCCCCAGCCACGCCTCGCCCCGGCCATGGGATCGGCTTGTGCGGCTCCCCCGGGCTTCAGGGGGGGAACAAACTCATGGCCTCATTAGAAGGTCGGACATGGGCCCGCCCCGTCCCTCCCTGCTCCCTGCCATGGCCCGGGACGCGTTGCCTATTGAAAGGCCCACGGCCAAGTTTTGCAACAAGGAGCCGGGCGCGCCCACCGGGGGGCGTCTTTTGGGGGCCACGCCAAGCAAGCGGAGCGGGTGCGGGGGACACCCTCGGGGCGGGCCCGGCCCGGGCTTTTTATTGTACTTTCACAATAGGGCCGTGTAGGCCGTGAGCTCCCCGGCGACGCGCGCATGTCGCCCCCTCCCCGCCCAACCCCTCTCCGCGACGTGCTACGCGGAGCACGCGGGACAGGTCCTTGGGGTTCCGCAGCACCAACCAGCCCGGCTGCTTGCCGAGGATTTGTAAAGACAAGGACCCTTTTGTCCCCCCCCCCTGCCCCTTTCCGTCTTCTCCCAGGGGAGGTGCCCGGTGCCCGGCCCGGCACCCGCGGTACCGAGAGAGGTGCGCTACAACGATAGCAACGTTCCACTTTGTGCCGTCTCGTTACGCCCCTCACAATGCAGCGGCGGAGCGGGTCGTGGCGGGGCGGGGTGAGGTGTGGTGGGGTGGGGTGGGACGGTTGATGTTTGGACGAGACTCTCGTCACGAGAGCCGCATACACATATATCTAGCACATACAAAATCTGCCTTCCGCTTAACTTGCGGTGGCTCCGCAAAGGCTCGGGGGCGAACCCCACCACACCCGCGGCTGAGTGCTGCGGTGGGGTGGGGCGGGACGGGGCGAGGGAAAGAGCCAATAACAGGCCAACAATAGGGCTTGCTTCAACACGACGGCGTTGAATAAAACGGCAGCGGTGGCTATTCTGCTGCCGTTATTATTTGTATATGGAGGCTCGCTTGTGCCCGGGGGAGGGGGATGGGTTTCGCCGTGCCTGCCCCGCCACGCCCCGCCACGCCCCGCCACGCCCCACCACGCCCCACCACGCCCCACCACGCCCCACCACGCCCCGCCACACCCCGCGGTGGCACGCGTCTACACATTCTCGTCCCCGCATTTAATTATTATCAACCCACTTCCCTTTTCTCTCATTCTCTGTCTCATGCCACGCGCACCGAAAGGGGATCGCTTTTCTCTGTGTTTTTTTTAACACGGTTATACTGGATGACGTGGGTGAGCGAAAAAAAGAGAGCGTCGGTGAAATTGTGTTTTTGTTCTACATTATGACAGACTAGCCTCTTTAAAAAAAGCTTATAAACGAAATGAAAAATGACACATTACGCGTGAGTGATCCTCGGCGCGCCGGTTTTCATTTCGCGCTGGACTGGGAATCTCTCAATGAAACCACAGCAGCACATCAGCGACGCGTCTGAATACGAAATAAAGTGCTGCGTGCTGCGTGCGAAAGTACAACATGCCCGTCGCGGGTGCGGGTAACCTTAAACAGATCCCCCGAGCTCGCCCCCGCCAGCCACCGCCGTGAGGGCCAGCCGAGCTGATCCTCAGTGATCCTCCCGGGGGGAGGGGGGGGGGCGATCCACGCCACCACGCTCTCCCCTGATCTACCATTGTCTTCCTCACGCAGCTTCGTCGTCCCGTGTGCTGTTCGACGTGCCTACGCGTGCGCATGTGTGTGTGTGTGTGTGTGTGTGTGCGTGTGTGTGTGTGTGTGTGTGAGAGAGAGAGAGAGAGAGAG